TAGGGCGCACTAATAAAATAATAATAATTACTATTATAACGACTCGAGGTAAAAAAGTAAAAAAGTTATTAATAAACGCTCGTTAATAATCCTATAAGGATAAAAAGGAATCGGATAGAGCTAGGGTTATTATATTAAAATAGTATATCCCACGTCCTATTATAAAAAAGCTTATAAAAAGTAAAATAGTATTCGTTTCTTATTTCTTATTAAAAACTAAGGAGCTCGTTAGAGGATTATAAACTAAAAACGAGTTTTATATATTATAATTAGTAAAAGTTCGTACTATAATTAGCGAGCTAAGAATATATTTACTTAACGAATAGGGTATACTATTTTTTAAAAAAAGACTCGTTATTCTTTAAGTAAAGTCTTTTTAAATAAAGATCTTTTATTAATATTACGACGATTATAGGGTAGGTTATATAAGAGCTACGAAAACTCTTAAGCTAATTTAGAGGAAGTTTTATTAAAAAGATATTTAACGAGATATTTAGGAATACGTTAAGAACTATAAGTATTATTTAGGAATTATAACCCTAAGATATAAGCTGTATAGGTAGTTATAGTTATTACTATTACCCTTATATTTATTCTAAGAAATATTTATAAACTTTATTACGGGGCTATTACCGAGCGCTTATAGTAATAGTATAGAATATAATAGTATTTTAGTTATTATTTATTATATAATAAAGTTTACGAAGTTCCTATTTATTGTTAAGATACTTAACGTAATATAAATAATAAGTATTTTATACCGAGAGGTTAAATATAAGTTCGGTATATTAAAAAGTATTATTATAAATAGAGATAAGCTTTTTATAAGCGTATTTTAAGAAGAGTTTACTTAGGAACGGGCGATACGTTACTAATTATTTATTACGTATTATTTATAAACGGACGGTTAAATAGAGCGGACCTATTAAATATTAGAAAAGTATTTAAAAATTTATACCGAGGGCTTATTAAATAAGTAAGTAGTATAGTTAGAAAAGGCCGAGTTTATATATAATAATAGCTAATACTCTATTATAAAAATATTTTTATATATAGTACTATACGGCTACTACCCTAAGTACGTTAAATATATACTTAATTATAAGGCTATAGTCTAGGGAGTTCGGGAAAGGGTCTAAAAAATTAAGGAGATTAGGGCCTAGGCTATATAAGCGTAAATATAAGCCTTTAAGAGCTAAGTAGCTTATTATAATAAAAAATATACCCTAAAGGAGTTTAATCGTAAAGAGGTCGTCGGCCTATTAATAAAAAATATATAATTTAAAAATAATAAACTAGCGCCGAAATATATTAAAATAGTAATAACTAAAAAGGTAAAAAAATAAGCTTACTAAATATATTTACTAAAGTAGTATCGGAGAATATATAATATTTTCTTAGTTTTCTAGCTTAAACTATAAGGAAATTACTAAACGGTTAGTAACTAAATAGCAAATCTCCCGGAGTTAGAGGACGAATAAGACGTTTAGGAAATTAAAAAAATCGTTATAATATAAGGTAAAAGAAGAAACTTATAATATCTTATTAAATAAGCTAAGTAGCTTACTAAGTATAATACGTAAAAGCCTATTAAGTATTTTAAAGGGGTAGCGGAAATAATTAAAAAATTCGAACGCTATAAAAAAAAAGCACATATAAAATAAAATAATAAACGTTAAGTTCGTAATAAAAGGTCGCTAAAAATAACTTAATTAATAATACTTTATAAAACCCTTTTTATTTAACTTAGCGCAATTTTTAAAAAAAAAATATAATATTATAACCCTTAGTAATACGTTACTAAGAGATCGATAAAATCTAGCTATATAGGGGGAGTAACCTATATAATACTAATAATAATAGTAATAGCTCTAGTATATACTTTTAAAGCTTAATAATTAATAATAATAATCCGCTTAGTAAGCGAGAAATAAAGAGGCTTCGTACGCGTACTTAGCTAATTATTTAAAATAAGGCCGTTAACCTTATTAATACTACGATAAATAAGAGAGAGGTAGTTAAAGTTATATAAAATATTATATATATTAATAATAGCGGTTCGTAAAGCGTTCGCTACTTAATCGCCGTTAAAAACTATAATAAAAAGCATAACGAGAGCTATAATAAGAAGTATAACGAGAGCTATAATAAGAGGTATAATAGGAGCTATAATAAGAGGTATAATAAGAATAAGAAGTAAAATAGGGGGTATAACGCTATTATTATTAGTAACGGGTTAAGGAAGGGGGACGTTATTTAAAATAACGCTCTTATAATCCTAATTAAGCTAAGGGGCCTTAGTAATATTAATATTTATAAAGAATATATTAATATCGAACTATTTATTACGACCCGTAGCTTTAACCTTAGTATAAGTAATAGCCTCGTTAAGCTATTATAAAACCTTTATTTAGAGCGGGAGGAGCGTAATACTAGCCTTATTAAAATTTAAAGTAATATAACTAAGGGCTAGGGTACCCTTATTTATATTAAAAAAAGCGTTATAAATAGGGGTTAGTAAGTTATTAATATTAAAGCGGCGGTACTTATTATAATACTAAAAAAAAGAATTCTCTAAGTTATTACTAAGCTTTTTAAATTTAGTATCCTCGTACTAGGGCTTATTAAACTTAAACCTAAAATCGTCCTACTTATTATTATTACTAGGAATATAGTTAATAATAAGAATACGCTTCTTAATAAGAGTCCGAGTCTTAGAACTATAAGAAATAGGAATAGTACTATATATAATAATAGTATAAATAGGTACCTTATTTACTAAGAACTTAGTAATACGTTTATAAAAAGTAAAGAAAATAAAAAACTCCTAGATACGTATAATAGTAACGCCCTTAAGAGTCTTTTTATAATACTAAATTAGAGCGTCGAGGTTATTTTATAAAGCGGTTATACGGCTATTATTATAAAAATAAGCTAGCTAAAGGTAACTAAGGTAAAAGATAATCTTAGTTTTATTATTAATATTAAAAATACTAATTTAAAAAGAAAAATCTAAGTTAATAAAAAGAAAATTTGCTAAACGATTACTAACGACTTACTATAATTAAGATTAATAAGTTTAGATATTTATAATTAGTAATAAGCTTTTAAAGAGTAGCTTATTTAAAATAGACCTTTTTTATTTTATTACTTACTAACGGGTTAGTAATATAAATAGTAATATTTTCTTACGTACTAATAGTATAGCTAAAAGTATAAAGAACGTAGCCGCGCTTATAAAAATTAAAACTACCTTATTTTTTAATATTGTAGAACTTTATAAAAGTATTTTAAATAAACTAAGCGGCGCTATATAGCTCCTTAAGAACCTAAAAAATATTATTAATAAATATTTTAGTAACGGATTAGCGAGGACTTAATAACTTATAGCAAAATACTTTTTTTTATTAATTTAATAAATAATATACTTAGTAACGTAAGCGCTAGTAATATAAACGAGCTCGTTAATATTATAATATATACTAACTAAGTAGTATAAGTAAGGAGTATTATTATAAAAACTACGAAAGCCCTTTTTAAAATTATACTCTATATTAAATATATCTTAAATATATAAAATAGTAAATATTTTAGTAAATACTTAGTAATAGTATAGCAAAAGAGTTATAATTAAGAAACGATATAAAATTAAAATATTATAAAAAGAAAAGTATAATTATATAAGAAAGAATTTATAAAACGGTTACTAAATAAAAAAAAAGAAAAAAAAATAAATACGTAACTAATAATAAAAAAAAAATCTTTTACTATACTTAATAGCTTAGTAATAATAATAACCGCGAGGCTAAGCGGGCTCTTATATATTACGACGGTTAGAATACTTTATTATAAATATATATTACTAACTTAATAACTAGTTAGTGCGCTATTACTAAATAATAATAATAAAGTATTTATTAAATAAAGAGATAAGAGCAATACCTTATCCTTAAGTAAAAAAGGATATTATTAACGCTTTATAAAATCTATTACGAATAATAACGTTAAGGGCCTTATTATTAATATTAAAAGAAGATATTACGTAATAACTTTAAGAACTAAAGTTATATAAGGGGGGAGTAATTATAATAAATTCGGGATATAATTAGTAATAAGATATTAATAATTTAATAATTAGTATACGGTTCGTATTATAAAAGAACTTTTTAAGAGGCAGAGCCCTTATAAAGGACTCTATAAGCTTTAGTTTTATAATATACTTATACTTATATTATAACCTCGCTAGTTAAGTGCTTATAGCCTAATCTCTTATACTTAGTAATAGGGGTTTTTAAAGTCGAGCTAGATAAAAATATAGGTATTATAAGCGGGAGCGGGAAGTGCGTTTTTATTTCCTTTTTATAAAACGCTCTTTGTGCTTAAAGCTCGAGTTATAGGGCCCTGGGGTTAGTAACTAGTGCCCTATATAAGTATTTTAGAGTAAGAGAGGCCTAATATAGTTTTATAGTTAAGTTTATAGTAGGAGGTCTTTGTTAGAAAATATTAAAGTCGTCCGAATAGTACCTCGAGCTTAGTTATATAAAAGCTTATAATAGTAGCGTACTTAGAGTTTTTTAGTAGCTAGAAGGACTCTTAGATAATAATAAGGGCGATATCCCTTATAAAGTAAAGGCTTAAGAGACAGGTCCTAATCTCGCTTATAGTTATAGTCCTACTTAGACGCGTCTTGCGGTTAGGGTATAATTATGTTATTATTAATCTAAGTAGCGTTGCGGTAGCTAACGCGTTTAGCCTAGGTCTTATAGTTAGGACCTTCGTAATCTTAGGGGTTATAGGAGTTATATTTATAAAGTTTAAAATACGACGCCTCTTTATAGACGAGCGTAATAGCGTAGACTAAATAATAATAATAAAGCCTAAAAGGGTACTAAAAGTATTTAATAAGGGCGGTAATTGCGGTAGCGTATAATAGCCGTTACCTAGGCTAGTTATGTTTAGTATAGGGGGAGAAAAAGGGGAATTGGGCCTTGTTAAGGAGGTTAGTGTAGTACGGTAGCCCGCACTAACAGTGCGTGCCAAGAAAAAGTATGTAGGAGGAAGGTTCTGTCAGTCAGCCAGTGCAACGCCATCATCCACATCTTGGGTACGCCCCGGTCGACTTCGGTGCGCCGGAGCCCAGATGCGGAATAACAAAAGATCGCCATTCGGACACTGCTCATAAACATACACTCCCACGGTTTCCAGAAAATACAACCCTTTTCAGCGATACGATTGATGAACCTGTTGTTGCTACCAGAGGTAAGATCGCTTGATTAAGTGAGAATGGCGTCAGCTCAATGATTAGAAACTCACCGCAACGACCATGACTCGACGTTGCAAGAAAGCCATCTGACAGTCGCGTGTCGCCCGAGGCGCCCGAAATCGTCGGTGGACTTGCGCCAGTCCGATCTGATAGGGCTTGGCTGAAGGCTTCTTCACTCTGGCCACGCTTTGGTAGCCTCCGGTTTGGGATGATGGCTGATGAAGGAAGGGAAAGTTCTGTCAAGGTGCAGGGCTTACTCAACCTTGTCGTTGGCTTCCGGAGTGGGACAGAGCCGCCAGATCCGACAGGCAGATTGAGTTGTCGCTGATGGAAAGAAAAGACGCAAGCCTGGAAATCCAGTATATCGAGATGTTCCAATCAAGGCGCTACTGGGGACATCCCCACCTAAGAACGATGCTCACCAAGGTTGCACCGGCAAAATGTAAGCTTGGCATGAATCATCAGCCACATGTCTCGTGGTATAGGAAATGGATTTTTGAGCCGTGTCCGCGGGTTGAGAGTTGAAGGTCAAGGTTACTGAGCGTGCCGCAAAAGCCAAGGCTGAGGGAATCGTAATCCAACCTGTCACGTACGAGCATGATGAGGCTCCGAAAGTGAACAAGTGCTGATGATCTTCCAAAAGCCTCGCGCATAGTCATCGCAATAAGCCGTCGGATGTAGGATGCCGTCCTCATCCACCAAGGAATCGCGACAATGGAGACCAGTGAATGCATGGTCCTTCACGTTGCCGACTTTTCGTGGCAAGGGAACACGGCGTTGCGCCCGACTTGGCGGCGGGATCATTTACAAATCAACAGGGAGAAGCTCTTTAGCACCGGGGAATTTCCCACAATTGACGGAAGGAAAGGCGGTCAGCGGAGGTTGCGGTGGTATCAGGGTAACAAACTGATGTTTGATTGGGAGGGCCAGATTCGAGGCAGTCTCGAAGAGCGGACTTGACCACATTGACGATGCAAACCGAGACGGCGATGGTGCATCCGCGTGTTAGTCTGTGAAGCTATTCGATGCTGGTCAGCCAATGGATTGCCAATGACCAGGGGATAAGTAAGGGCTTGGGAGGACTAGTGGATGGGGAGCGATTAACATGCTGACGCCAGTCCATATCAATGAGCCGGGATCTTCGTAAGGCTGAAGTGCACGAGGGTCCCTGAATGGCCTCGCATGGTTTTGGTGGGTGTGGGAGCATGGCGGGTGGTATGTAGTGGAGGCTGTTGGCAGAGTGGCGTGAGTGGCTGCGATAAACGCGTCCAAGATGAGTGACGTTCAGTTGGGCCGTTGACACCAAGAACAGGCAGATGGTACCTTGAACGCTTGCGCTCCGGGTGATCAACCTCGTTTTGTGACACATTTGGATGACGGTTTGCAGATTTCATGCATACCTAGGGATGAGCAACTGCGTCTCAAGGTTAAAGCTAGACGGTGAAGGATAAGCACTTGGCCGAGCTCCCATGCTTTGGACAGGATATGTGACACAGTATTTCTTCGCCTTTCGGCATCACGTCACGCGTCTAGCGAGTCCGCCGAGTCGCGCTGAAAGGGCGAGGTTGTGATGCAAACCCTTGCATCTGCCCAACAAGCATTAAGACGGTCGTGGAGGGGTCCTTCGCAATACGAGAAATTCCATGGTGGTGATCTGAAAAGCCCTCGTTATTGCTTAAGCCTTGATGGCGACACCGGGTACGTAGACGCGCCACTGGAGAAGGCTCTCATCTGGTTTTGATGGAATGTGGGCGTGGGCCAGGTAGAGCAACGGCCGTCGGCTTCGTTTGGGGGCGGACTCGTGTTCCGTGGCATGGATTATCAGGCGGGATGATAGGGCGATGAACTTGGTGGATGCACGGATGGCGGGATAACAAATCGCAAGGTACAGTGGCATGTGCGTGTGCGTGTGCCAGCGGATGACGCGCAGTATCTTCTCGGCGAGTTGCTGCAACCTCCTGTCGCCGCCTCTGTAATGTTGAGCCCGGGGTGGCCGGGAGGCGAGACCGGAAGGAGGGGTGACGACGGGGTTTGCCAGGAGGCGAGAAGAAAAAGGCGTTTGGTTTTTCTCGTAAACGCAACCGCCAAGGCCTATCATGGCAATCTTGTGAAAAGGGGCCGATGAGAAACGACAGGAACAAAACATGCCCGTAGCTATGTCCTGGTGGGAAGAGGCCAGTCGGGATAGCGACCTGACTCGTGAATGGCTCAGTTTGGTCATGGAGCGGGAGCATTGGGGGCGGATCTGAAGTTGTTGACCTGGTCCTGGGCTAAGAACAGGAATAGAAAGGACTCAGGAACGGGGGGTACGGCAGCGGCGATCAGGCCGCGTCGGCTCCGTGGCTCGGCACCCCATCTCGGGGGAAGAAACCTCCACAGACAAGCTAAGGCTGCTGTGAATGTAAATCCGGAGGTCGAGTGCTGCGGGTATGGTGGAGATGCGGTTTGCTTGCGGGTTTTGCTTGGGGTGACCGAATTAGGAGTGAAGACTCGTATTCTCGGAATTTGCATGTTGCCACAACGGCTGAAGCTGCGTCTTGCGTCAGAAGATTGGACGCAAAAAGGTTCGCTTTCAAGGATGATTCGGTACCGTAAGGATGGTAACGAGCTGAAGGTGTCTTTCCACCGTGAAAACCGAGGGGAATGGTTGGATGAGGAGGATGCCGCGAGTCTTGAGTTGTGGCTGTGCTTTGCCGCCGGCGGCCGCAATGCTGCATCTAGCAAGCAAAGTGGACGGCCATCATCGAGGATCGCCGTGAGCTGGCATCGGGGGCCGAAAGAGAAAACGAAAAGTCGGTGTCGTCGTCGTCGTAGTAGTAGGAGTTTATGAATGCCAATGGAGGTTGAGAGGGAAGGAATAAGGCTGAAGGGAACGGAAGCTTTCTCGTCGACAAAAATAGCAACCATGAGCAGGCGACAAGGTACGGAGTCAATAAAGAGGCACATGGAGTCTGGGGAAAATGAACCTTGGCACTGCAACCTCCGCCCCTACCTTCCCTACCTCCAGGTGCCCTATCTTCCCTAATTAGGGCACCTTTCTTAGTCCATAACGGAATTGATAGGACGAGACGGGATGGAAGGTTAGGTTGGAAGTGGCAGGCACAACACCGGATGGCAGTTGATACCTTCCAGGTTCCATCACTCCAAATTCGGATGACAAAACGTAATGGAAGGATGATAGTCATGTCAAAATACTTGGGTAAGTAGCACGTGTAAGGTACCTTACGGATAGATACCTAGGCACCGCTAAGGAAGGCATGGCAAGGAAGGCAAGTACGTCCGTAAAGAAGCCACAGCATCTTGCGGCCGTTGAGGAAGGGGCTTTACACGTGCAGAGTGCAGTATGCAGAAATGCATGTCATGCAACGACCTGAACAGGAAACATGGAGGGCACCTCATGAGTTGCAGATGCGTCCATTAGTGTCATTGACGTGTCGTTAAATCAAAGGTGAGGAAGTTCAGGGACAACACTTTTGCAGGTGCACGCAAGGGAGGAAAAAGTGCAGGCGGGAGAGGACGCAGCCGGATCGTGGCTTGAGTCTATTCTACGTCCCTTCCATCATCACCATCGTCGTTGGGTGCTGAAAATAATGTCTAATAGCGGGTGATCGCCTGCACCAGCTCCCATTCTCAGTGCTCCGTTTTGACCGAGGTGTGGACGGGTGACGGTTGGGACCAGCGGGACATGTGGCCCCAGCGTCAGTTACGTACCGTAGGGGTGGGCACCCAAAGGGCATCTGCGCCTGCTCAAGTGGCTCATGAGTTTATGGCAGGTGTGCTCCCTGCAGGTGTCCAGCTTGCTGCTTCCCGTCGTGTCTTGTAAACTTGTAAAATGTTTCCAACTCGAGGAAGGAACCAAACGGGGCCCATGTATGTATTGGGTTCACGCTTGCCTTCCCGTCCAGATGATACCTACCTACCTTAGGTACCGTACCTATGCTAAGTCCCTATGTATCTGCCCAATGAGCCTAAGGCCTGGGATTAGGTAGGTACGTTCTCAAAGGATCCAGGAAAACACCGTGCTCTCGAAGGCAGGAGTACATGAGCTGAAGCCTGAGGCCCCTTCACGCTACATGTGTAAATGTCCCTACCTACCTACCCGGGAGGGGGGGGGTGTACAGCAGAGGTAGAAGATTATATGTCGCCTGGGCATAGTATACCCCGCTACTCGAATATTAGTAATATACCCTAGTTATATTAAATATATAGTTAATTAAATAGAAATATTTAATTATATATATTGCCTTAATATAGTATATATACTAACGCTATAAAGTTAAAATAAACTCTATAATAGGGTAACTTTACGTATTTTTATATTAGCCGAGCTCTTCTTATTAACTATAAATAATAGTATAGTTAATTAATATTATTAGTTAATAAGTTATTAAGTATATTAGAACTTCGTCGTTACTTATAAAATCTAAAGCTATTCGCAAATTATATAACTAAAATTTTATACTAAAAGTTTTTTATTACCGATTTTATATTAATAAAATCTATATATATACTTAGTAATTAAAGGCTTTATTATACTATAATAACTATTTTTTAATTTTATATTACCCTATAAGTAGTAATACTTATTTTACTAAGATATACTAGTTTATATATATATCCTAACTATATATTATTTTAAGGTTGTTTTTTTAGTATGCCTTTATTATATTAAAAGCTCTATTACGTCGTATATTTAATTAAAATAATAGCTTTATAATTACGTTATTAATACTTAATATAAAGTCGTAGGGCCTATTACCTTAGGATTTACGAGGTTTTATAAACTATTAAAACTACTATTACTTATAATATATATTAAAATATTAATTAAAAATCTTATTATAATTATCCTCTTAACGTATATCTTTTACTAACTTTAGTATACGTTAAATTATATATAAATATCCCTCTAATATTATAAGAGAGCTACTCTCTATTTACTTAGTTATACCCTTCGTATTTAATAATAACTAGTAGCTATACGTAATAAATATTCCTAGTTTTAGCGAGTCGCGCCTTATACTCTTTTTAAAATATAGCCTCTATTTTTACCTCTACCTTTTTTAATTAATATTACTTCTCTTTAAGAACTATATTTATAAAATCAATTTTAAAAATATTTATTTCGTACTTAGAATATTTAAAATTATTACCTTAGTTTAACGCGCTAATATAGTCTTATTAATTATTAATCTTAGTAATTTTAATAGCTTTATTTATAAGCGTAGATTACGTAATAATAAGCTAGTAAGTAGCTTTAGTATAAGGACCGACGCTTTTAATACTAATTCCTTATAGCGCTATCTCTTATAATAAAATCTTATTATTAGTAAGCGAGGAGAGTAGTATAATTATAATATTTATATTTATTTTTATACCTTAATTAAAATAAAAAACGGAGTTTAGAAAATAGTAAAATAAACTTACTTAGATAGAAACTAGGTTATCTTATTATTATTTATTATATTAATAATAAATAGAGTTTAATATCGTATTAAAAAAAAGTAACCTTAATATTAGTTATCTTTATACTTTATATATAAACGGGCTATACTAATACGAGGACTATTTTAGCGAGCCTCTATATACTATATTTTATTACTATAAACGCTCTTAATTCTTATTACCGCGGACGCGTACTTTAGGTTTTTATTACCGCATTAATTAATAATAATGCGCTCTTATATAATAATATATTACTAATTACCTTATTAACCTAGTATATATCTTATATTATAATTAACTTATATTTTTACCTCTATAAGCCTACTTTACTTATACCTTATATAATACTAAATAGATAGGTAGTTAAGTAGCTAAATATTAAGTAGGGTTTTAAAGCAAATCTTCTTACTTTTACCCTCAGATAGAATAAAAAAGTAATAAATATCGGGAGTATTTTATCTTACTTAATATAAAGTACTACTAGGCTTATCTATATATATACTATATACTTAGCGAATTTCTTTATAATATAAATAAGAGGGCCTTTATATATACTACTTTATAATTTAATAAAAATATAAAATAAAATAAGCCTACTATAACTTAATATAAGAAGATTAATTATTATTCGGGAGCTTAAGTTAAAGAATATACCGGCTTATAGCCGTAAAATATACCCTTATTATTAACTAGCTTACTCGCTAAGTAATTAGACCTTATATACTCGTTAGAGTAATTAGTATACGTATTATAAATAAGCCTCTTAATATAATAAAAAAAGTAGCGCTATAAAATTATAAAAACTACCTAAGTAAAGTACGTAATTAATATATACCTTATCTCTATACTAAACGCCGCGTTTAAATTTTAAAATAAAAAGAGCCTAAATAAAAAAAAAATATTAAAAAGAAGAAAATATACTAAATTAAAAATCTAAGTCTACCCGAATTTTATTATTATCCTCTAAGTTAACTTTATCCTTCGCTATATCGTACTAAACTACTTTTATACTATTATAATATATATTTATAATAATATTAAGAAGCTTCTCTAGCTCTTTATTAAGTATAGGCGCCGCTATCTAAGTAATTAGACCGATTTTACTATTTAGTTAGTTATTAAGTTTACTCTAGGTACTATTCTTAGGGGCCTTTAAGTATATTAATATAGCGTAGTTAGTTAGTATTTTTAACTCCTTAAGCCGCTACTCCGTACTAAGAGCTATACGTACTCTAACTATTAGCCTTAATATCTAGGGATTTACTAAAATAATAAATAATATTTTAACTATACTTATTATAAAAATCTTATTTTTTTTAATAGTTTTAATAACTTTTACTTTTTTTACGGTTATTTATTTTTTTAATATAAGCTATTTTTTATTACTAAACTCTACTTTATACTTCTTAATAAGCTTAAAGTTATTTAAAACTTTAGCTAAGTCGTTCTAATTAGTAATCCTTATTTTTACTAGCTACTTTTTTATTAAGTTACTTTTATAAATACTTATAATCTTATTATTAACTATTTTAACTATATTATAATTAAATACTTTAGTTATATTACGCTAGTTTTTAATAAGAGTAGTACGGACTTATAAACGTATTACCTTTTTTTTTTTAAGTTACTATTCGGAGCCGCCTTAATCTAGTTCTTTAAGGACCTATAATATTTAATAAGTAGGTTATTCTTTTTATTATATAAAACGATTACTAAAAGAAATAAGTAGCCCTCGAGCTCTTTTTAATTAGTAATATATAAGGCCTCTTAATAATATTAGTATACTAAGCTATTTAATTAATACGTTATATTAAAAAAGACAGGTACTTTATAAAGTTAATAAATTAGTAAATACTCTAATAAAATAATAATTATTAATAAGGAAAAGAGAACTTACTTAGGTACTTACTTCGTAATAAGCTTAGTTATAATAAGAGCGCTTAGTAATATTCTTATTAAATTATTAGCCTATTTTAAATTATTTTAAAAATTAGAAACTTTAAAGTAATATTAAAGAATAAAAACCTTATTTAAATAAAAACTTAATATTTTTTAATATATAAAAGATTATTTAAATAGGGCCGGAATTACGTAGAGTTTTATAAGGAGAAAGTAAAATTAAAGGACGAAGTATTTTATAAATATTAATATTAATATAAAGTTAAGGTTATTTCTAAATAAAGAACTAAGATTAAAAAGAGGTATAATAGTTATAAAGTATAAAATTAAAAAACGATTTTTACGTCTTAATTATTTCTAGTTATAAAAAAAGCGCGATAATTTATTAAAGAGAAAACTTATTTAAATAGAAAAATAAGAGTTAGAAATAGCTTTAAATCTTATATAGTAAAATTTAAAATAATTACTTCTATAATTAATACTTAGCGACTACTTTAATTACTCTTTTTTTTAAATCTAATTATTTTTAAAGTTTAGTAAGAGCAACTCGTATTTAAATATAC